GTGATAATTCTTTGGAAAGGAGAAGGGACTCTGTCACAGCTGTATCAACAATAGTCACTTAAAAAAAAAAAAAGCAGCAGCTGACTTGACATGTCAAGCATCACATATTTGGCTATGAAAGCAAAGCATAAGCCATGCTGGCCAATAGCACAGACTTGGAATGATGCCACTGAAAATCTGGTCTGTAAACTGATGCTACCTTATTTCTTGAATTCTAAGAGGGCTTGCTGAGATTTAACAGCAATGCAGAACTACCACATCCCTCATAGATATTTCTTTTCTTGTTACATGAGATCCATGCATGAAGTGAAAAAGAGCAAATGAACATCAGGTTTACATCACCACTGATATGTGAATGATTGATCACCCATTAAATCACATACAGAGCCAGTAACAGCACACGGGGTAGTGTTAAAGCAAAATGTTTGATATTCTGTACTCTAATTAAACATGGAAATAATATGATGCAGTCTGTATTGTAAATGTTATTGCAGATTATAGACCTAGAGGAGAGGTGTTATGCTACCTTTATAGCCTCCAGTTCCTGAAGACTGTGACTTAGAGGTGCCTCAGGGCTGCCCTAAATTACACCAGTTGGTAATGACTCCCAAAGGGCTGCTATGCATCCAGTGGTTGCTGGAGTGTAAAGCACTTTGGCTATGCCAGCAGCCCATCATTTCACAATGGAGGCTGAGAGCAGCTGGCATAGTGCTTGGAGGAAATCCCCAAGTAGTGGTTTAAGACATTTTTCTAACACTTTTTGTCATGAGAGTGATAAAAAATAAAGGCCAGATTTCACAAACACACAGGGGTTTTTTCATTTTTATTTAAGCATCTGCAGTTGTGGTTTGATAAACTGGGAGATGATGGTTTCTATAGGATTTCAGAACAGGTATCAACCTAATACTGCTTCAACTTGGCAGCATTCCAGATCTCTGTTCTGGCCCCCCATTCCCTGCCCGTGCAGTGTAGCACCACCAGCTGTCAAAGGCATATTCCTGATTTACATCTGTGTTACCACAAGTAGCTGGATTTTCCTTGTATATGCAAGCTTTTCAGTTCAGGCCTATATTCCAGCCTTTTCTGGAGCTGCCAAAGACAGCAGTTTGCATGTACAGAAGATCCTTCAAGTATGTAAATCTGCAGCTCCTTCAAAAGTTGGGCCAATTCAGGCAGAGGAGTGATGGGTGCTGTTTTTTTCTATACAGTGTGTGGGCTGGGCCAACCATTCTTACACAAATATCTCAAAAGGTCAGCTGTGAAATTATTACTTAATACTGGCAGTTTGAGGAGTTGAAATTTCATCTATCTTTAGGACGTTCTTAAGTGAACATCCTGAAGACATGAACATCCTGAAGACAGTAACTGTCTGCTGGCAGCAGAAACTCATGAATCCCAAACTAAGCTAATGCAGTCCAAAATTCAACTGACAGTGTTTTCAAACCTCTGAGGCAAAAATCCACCACTTATGATCTTACCAACTGTTCTATGAAACACAGGGGAAAATAAAGTAATTTACAGAGATATACACAGCACAGAAAAGTACCAACCCTCTGGGAAGCTACCCAGGGAGAGGGAATTACCAGTTCTGAACTAAAGATATCTTTAAAAAAAAGGTCCATAAGCCCAAATAACATCAAGGAGAAAAATGATCTTATGAAATGTCCTGGATGTGAACTCATAAAGAACTGACTTTCAGCTTCAATGGAGAAAGGTGAGTGTGCATGCAAGGACTGTGCTGTAACCTTCCTAAAAGGAAGCAAAACATCCCATCCCTTTCTCTTCCACCAAGTCTCTCTTTGAGCTAGTGCTGGCTGGCAGGTCTGCACAGGGTGGCAAAAGGTCAAAAGGACGATGGATGAAAGAAGTTAATACCGCATTTTCTCTGTTCCCTACATGTACATCCTCTGTGCAAGCAGGACATGGTCTAAAACTTCTGTCCTCTTCCTGGAAGGTTCAGAAAGCTGTGAGAAAATTTCTTTAGTGCTCTGTACATATTCACAGAGAGACATTTTATTTCCCAAAAGAAATTGAGGAAAGTGGATCAGAAAATCATAGAATGAACCATACTATAATGATCAGAAAGGGGGATCATCTAGCCCATCATTTTGCCTGAAGGCAGGATTGATTTCAGTTAAGTAAATTCTGATAGTCTCCTGTCATTCTATTTAATTATTAAATGATTTTTAATATTAGTAGTTCCTGTTACTATCCTCTAAGCATGCCATTCAGTGTTTAGCTACTCTTTCTGGGACCTGAATTATATAATCAGAATTAATATAGGCCTAATACCAGGGGTCTGCCACAGTCTTAATATGCTTCATTCTTTCACTAGATCCTTTCTGGAGCTTGGAAAGCAGACTAACTAAACTTAAATGGCTTGTACCCTACATATCAAATGATCTCAGCCAAAATTTCTGTTCATTTTAATAGCGTAAACTCGGAGTAAACCCTTGTAAGGCCAATATTTCACTCTACATTTCCAACAAAGCTGGAATACAGCACCTGAGTACAGGAAAATCTTTTGCTGTGATGTAAAACCTACAGATTTTTTTGTCCTGTGTACTTTCAGAATTTGTTCTTGAAGGCAGAATGGCTGGGATGGACAAATAAGTAATTAAATGGAGCTAAAGCAGGGACAATAACGAACTAATGCCATTATTTTTACCATAGTTCTTGGGGGAAGCTAAGGTAAAGGCTAAGGTAGAGATATAGAAAGTCAGTTACAGTGATGCACTTCACTTAGCATGGGTTCATGCAGTGCAAAGAGCTTAATGTCTGCAGCTGAGCTGGGCCTAATGGGCAGCAGTTGTTATCTGTGGAAATGGAGTCTGTGAGAGGCAGCCTGGCTACTGTACCTGTCTGTGATGGCCAGTGGGATTTTCAACGTGCACCTGACCTTTTCTTACTTATTTTGCTTAATTTTCATCCAAAAAAAAAGCCATCATCTGACTGATCATCCCAACCCCGAATTTTGCAGTCTGAGCCCATTGGTGAAGGTTTAGTGAGAAGAAAAAGGGAGAAGAGGGGGAGTCTGCGAAATAAATCTGGGGCTGGGGACAGAGGGGAGCTGCTGCAAGATCCATGCACCTGACCAGCACCCACATTTTTATAAAAGCTTTTTTTAAAAAAGTTTTTCATACAGCTCTTATACATCAATGTATGCACATGTACAAGCAGTTCTTTGTATGCTCATTTGTCCCCATAATAACCAGAAACTGCTGTGAATCTTCTAACAGGCTAGCAGAGACCTTTGCATGCTGCCTTACAGCACACAGACTGAAAACCCTTTCCCACTCTCCCTGTGCCACAGCAGCCCCACAGGTACTTAGGAGCTCCTGCAGCCAAATCCAGACGAGAACAACCCCACCAGGGCACCACCAACCACTCTATGTCCTGCCAGCTTTGCAGGCTGGTTTATAGTTGATATCCACCAGTAACTTCATGGCCCTTTTAGGACACCAAGCATAGGAAAGATCTTGTTCTCCCCAGAATTAGGGACTCCCAGGCCTCTGTCCTATCTGAGAAGGCATTAAAGTAGGAAAGAAGGTTCCCTGTATTTTCTTGCCCCATATAGAAAGACAGGAGTATAAACTTACCTCTATGGAGGCAAGAAGTTTTAAGAATTTATATCTTGAAACAAGCATTCAACTTAGAAAAAAGCACTGTGAAACCCATCGTATTAATCACCATAAACTTGCAATTTCTTAAGGAAAACACTTACTTACCTGATATAAATTGACCCAGTTTAATAAGAATCTCATTTATTATTTATGTGCCTTATAAAGATCCTAACACATGACAAAGCTGAGTAACTAAGTAAGGAAGTTCACACAGCAAAAACTTATTACCTGTTATTGCTATTCCTCGACTGTTTTGATGTTTGCATGCTGTGTATGTTTACACAAAAAGTCAGACTCTCCAACATGATAATGTGAATTTAACAGAAAGGTTGCTGGCTTCATTTTTATTGTACAGCAAAACACTGCTCTGCAAGGTTTAAGTAGGGATAGTTGGTAAGAAAGAGGTCACAAATACCAATACTCCATGGAGTTGCAACAGAAATACAGTGACCTCATAGCTTTGTTTTTTCTAGATCCTGACAAGGCTTTGATAAAGTGTGAAAAGAAATACAATTTTATTCCAGACCATGTAGAATCAAGGCATTGTTTACTTCCTCCCCCCACCCCTTTTTTTTATCAAACAAAATCTGCTTCCATCTTATTTAGGTCACCATTTGACATTCCAATTGTATGGGTGTCTTTGCATAAACACAGAGTTTTTTCAGTGAAGTTCAGCTCTATTTACCAGATGAAAGTGGATTCTAAATGTTGAAGTTCTACCAACAAAACTCAGAAGAACAGCAATTTAACGATATGCAGCCAAGTAAAATACCTACACTGGGCTGAATCCTGGCATAGGACAGCAGGAGCAGGATCAGGAGGCAAATCTGGAGTCTGGGGGTTACAGGGAACCCTTATCAACAGCACAAGCACAGATTTTAATTGGATTGGTTGTTTCCTCAAGGAAGGAAGATCTGTGCTTGAGATTGCTCATTTGGGGGAGGAGTGAAGGGAGGTGGAGCAGACACATAACACCACATTTTGGGGGTATTGTGGGAAAAAGCCTTTGCCAGTCCTAGCAAAGGAAAGATGCTGCTTGTTTTCCTGAGTGTCCTGCAAAAAGGGTGCTTGACAAGTGCAAGGATTTTTGACAAATTGTCAAAATCTTTGGGGTGGCTCGGATCCTGTCAGAGTATTTTTCTCTCACCTCACACAAAGCTTTTCAACTCCTCCTATTTTAACAATCCTAACAACAAAAAAATCATCAGATATTCTTTTGCTATTTTAAATGGCTATTGTTTCACTGTATTTAATCATTAAGGAACCAGAAGGGACACATTTCATTGAAAAATGTTCGTTTGACCCTCTGTAAACAGCAACTTGAAGCATTTTAACAGGCTCTTCAAACTGTTTGGGCAGAAATAAAGAAGCATCTGGTCTGAAGCACAGTTTCATATTGTATTGTTTATGTTGATAGCTTAAGTTCTTTGCTGTGCATTGTTATTTATGACAATTGAATGTAGAACATTTTTGGTTCAATAAAGTGCTTTCATTCTACAGCATGGGAATAAGGCAATCAAAGCTGAGGTGACTTGACTGATTTCATTTAGAAGGTGGATTCCAGCAGGCTATTAGTGTTGGAGAAGGGAGGGGGAAGGAAAGGATGGAGCAGGTAACTAGGGGATACAAATTAAAAAGGGTGAGAAATCTGGGAAAGAATCCTGCTGATGGTATGGACTATATGAGAAATTTCCACGAGTCACTAAAGCCATGGGAAGAAATTGCAAGAATCTGCCCAAACAAAAAGGCAAGAATTCTATATAGATGTGTCTTTTCTTTTTTTTTCCTTTTTTTTTTTTAATGGGAAACTTGCAAGAAGACATCAATGGTTCAATCCTCTTGTCCCTTAAGCCAATAAAACACACAAAAATACATACATTTAAAAAAATATTTTCATTGTGTTTTCTGCATTATTTCAGAGTTAAGCAGCAAACCAAATGATGCATATTATAAATGTAAAATGAGAAAAATGCCAAAGTAACAGTGAAAAATAAGTACCCAAAAATAACATGGAGTTATACCAGTTGCAGCAGAACTGTCCCATGTCAACGATAGTTCCTAAAAAGGCTTTTCAGGACAGTGTTTTCACCAGACATTACATTTATATTAAATATATGTATATAAATTTAATAATATAGATTTATCAAAAATATGTAAACTCAAGTATTAAATATATAAATAAATTAATTCATAAAACCTTAATGTTGATATTCAGTAAATGTAAAAAATGGAACAATGAACTGCTTAAGAGCAAATTTTATGATTATTAAAGACATGTTAAAAGCCTCTATTTGCTTAGAAGGGAGTGCAGTAAAAGGACTCAAGCTCTAAGGAAATGTTTTCTAAATATTCCAGGAAGGCTTTAAGGGACAGGAACAGGTTTAGGAACCATAATAAGCCTTGCACATTTCCAAAGCAGCCAAGGAAGGCATTTATGATTCTGACTTTTCTGTTTAATTTATTCTGTCCCATGTTTCTGTTTACTGCACAAAGTGCTGGTTGTGAAGCCAGAGCAGCTCGGTTAATTTGATTTCAGAGCTATTTCCCATAGATCATCCACTAGGACACAGCTCCTGTAACAGCAAGCAGAAGCCTGACTAGCCCTAGTGCTTCCTCCCAGGCTATATATTATTATCTTAAAGACTTATTAGACTTTCTCTTTTCAGCCATGTATTCCAGCAGTATTCCAGTCAAAGGAGTATAATGCAATTAACTGTTTTTTTCCTGTTGTAATGGTAGCATCCTCAACCTGTGGTTTGACAGAGCTTTTTAGTCAGGGTGAATTAAGCACTGTATGCCTCCTTTGCCTGTTCTCTCCTCAAGACTTTGGCTCTGCTATTTAGTTCTCTCTCAGACTGTTTTCCTTTCATTTGCCTTATTAGTAGGTAGGTCAGTAGCTGATGCCACCTACTGTGGGCATCCAAAGGCTTTTCTTTTGTTTCCTTTTTTTTCCAAAAGCTAGAGAAGTTGCCACTTTCTTTAGTAGTGATTCACAAAAGATATTAAAAATAATTTAAATCTCTTGTTAGGAAAAAGATACTGCACCTTCCTTTACAGCTACGTACACACCTTTCTTTAAAGCATGTATAGTCCCAGTGCCTCATCTGAATATCTTAAGCTGGCAAAGGTAAGTAAAAATCCAAATGGGTTATGGATATATGACGTATTAATTAACATTTTTTCCATTTTCAGGGCTCTTTTCATCTATAATAGTATGGTGATTTTTTTTTTTCTTACCTTCCTCTACTCATAAACCCCTGGAAGCTGGGGAAGGTCAGACCTTGACTGTGTTGTTAAGACAGAGGGACAAATTGGCATCCATATATCAGATCTGCGCTGCCTCCCTTGAGTATTTTTCCAGGAATCTGAACAAATGCAGAAAATAATGTTGTACTCTGGGTCATGCTTATCTGTAGAGGAGTGTGAAGCAGTGTGTACATGTGCATGTGTACATATCTCAGCAGGAACAAATAAACTGTTGTAAGAAAAAGCCATTAGTATAGAAGGAAAAAGAAAAAAAGAGGTTAGTACGAAACGTGTTCTCAAATACTGGGATGATCAGACAGGTCTTGCATGTGTCTTTTTACTTTTCAGTCTAAGGTAACTAAGAATTTTCTGATACTCTACCATTCTTGTCTTTAATGCTCTGCTGTCATTATATCTGTCCCTTTCAGTCAATCATTGGCTTTGAGAGTGGTCCCACTAATGCCCTTTTTCTATATTACATCCTTTTTCCTACTGGCTACTATCTTATAACATCCTCTGAGTTCAAATTTGAAGCTCTCTTCCCCTGGCTTTCTTCTACTCATGGGCACACTATGCAGCTATTACTCTGTACAGGATCACTCTTATCCTGTTTAAGTTTTGAATTATTGCCCCATATCTACCCTGTGCAATATTCCTTCATCATGCAAGATATTTCTTTGCTTCTATTGCAGCCCTTATTTTGTCTGTTTCTATACCTAGTTTTTGCCAGCTGCCATTGCTCCAGTGCAATTGATAAAGGCATAGCTACAGAGTATAATTAATAGCCTGTTGCAGATTTAAGAGCATATTTTGCGCATACCTCACACATTTATATTCTCTGCTAAAAAGAGGTTGCTGACTCCAAAGAGTTAGCAGTACTAAATCTGTACTGATGTAGTAACCTCTGAAGTTCATGGACAAGTTTCTGAGCTTAAATCACTGATGCAAAATCTGAGGTTGGAGGTTTCCAGATAACAGTTTCAATAAATTTGCTAGTGAGAATAGCTCCATGAATTGAATTTACTGATACTGGAATGACAAGGAGCACCACACCTAATTCATTAGGCTGAATTCGTAGAATGACTGTGGTGATTTCCAGTCTGTACAATCATGTTCCCTCCTCATTTTGCTGGTCTTCTTGCACTTCAAGCCCTGGGAAACATCTGCACAATTCAGTATAGATGCCCAGTGGTGTGTGGCCTCTGGGAGGCTTTTACAGTCATAACCATCTGCTCTGTATGTGAAACATACCTAGTCAAGCAGCTACTTTGCTGCATGACCAAACCACTGTCAGGAATTTTTTATACAGCAAAACCAGGCCTAAAGCACAAACTAGTGCTCAGACAAAAATAAGTGTGCACACTCAAAGCTATATTAGTAGACAAAAACTATGTTGAGTGCAGAGAAATTGCAAAGGAGTAATGAATAGCCCTGTAGTACAACACAAATAAATTCCTGTAATAGCTTGTTTGCAAAACTCCATTCACCCTGCTGCATTCCCTCCTTCCCCTTCCAAACTGAAGCTGCATTCAGAATACCCATGCAGAATGACCACAGTTGCTACTACATCAATGTAAACAAAATTGCCCCAGCCTGCTCACAAATGTGCAAGATCCACTTGGTTGTGTGTGTCTGAACATAAGAGTAGCCATAAATATATATGCAATCAAATCAGTTGCAATGTATTGCAATACATCCCCTGTCCTGACTGGTTTCCTCTCTATAAATATGAGATAGATAGATAGGTAGACAGGTAGGTAGACAGGTAGGTAGGTAGGTAGGTAGGTAGGTAGATAGATAGATAGATAGATAGATAGATAGATAGATAGACAGATAGATAGATAGATAGTAGATGATAATCTCCCTATTTCATACCTCTCATTTACTGCATCCTAAAATTTTATTCCACTTTATAATCTCGTTTTATAGCACATACAATTTTCTCATCTTTTTGAACACTTCAGGAGGCTCCTTTTTCTCTAAGCATATCTCGTCTCCCAGTAACTCACAAACATAACAATTCAGATTTCTCTGTTGCTTCCTTACTTATAACTTTAATGTTTCTGTTTGAAATGAAACCAAGAATAAAAACACTCCTAACAGTGAATTAACTTGGACATGTAGATGTTCTCTCATGATGCTTTCGCTTTGGGGACTGTATTTGTCAAGCTTTTTCCTCTCACTCCATTTTGTACAAATTTTGCTAAATTTTAAATTTTCTAAAATTATTACATTTCATTTACTGAGAAACAGAACAGTCATATTTCAAAAAGCATTTATGCAATAAAATTACATCTTCAGCTGATTCTGATTTTTCCATGAGGCACTTCTTTCTGCTTTTGGAAACATTGTACTGTGGCTCCAGGAAAAAACTTAAGTATCTAAATTGTTGCTGTTGGTGGGAAGTGGGGATCCAAAATTCTCATTTAGAGATCTTTACTTGCAAATTCTGAGCACCACCAGCCATTTTATAATTTCCATTGTGGTATTCATGCAAACAAGCCTAATGGTGCTCATCATGAAGACAGAGCTGAGACCAAACTAAAATGCAGAGAGTAGAAGAATTGTACTCCTGATTCACTGTGAAAGTTGAGTTGCTGAAAAAGAAATTCAGCTGGCAATACAGAGTTCTGTTCCAGTTTATTCACAGGAAGACCAAAGGCTACTATCCTGTTTCTACCAGTACAACAATAATTTGGACAGTAGGTGTTTTTTAATTTCTTGGGTTTGGAATCTTGACAGGTGCTGTTGCCAGATCTTGCCTTCTTGCATTGCCTTTGACGCTGGAAAAAAAATAACAACCGCAGCATGTTTAATTTTACTGTCTTAGAAGGAGAAAAAGTCACTTAAAATTACTTCTGGATTTTCATTAATAAGCTCAATAATCTCTTAAGAAGTCTTTGGCAAGGCAACCAGTAAGAATGAAGGGATTACAAACTTTAGGTTTTAATGAGAATTGGTTGTTTGGGGTGTTCTTGTTCTGCCACAATCTATTGTCAGAAGAATGGGTAGTAAGATTTCAGTGCCTAGAATCACAAAATCAAAGTATGGTATTTGCATTACTCATGTAGGATTTGAATTGGACTAGTCAGATGAATGGTTTTAAATGTGCACATTTGATTTTGTTGGCCATTTTTCCCTTTGTTTTTAGGCAGCACAGATTTTAAGGAAGGAATTCAGTGGCCAGCTGCCCAAATTAAAGAATAGTGAAAAGATCAAAGTAGTGCATATTGCTACTGTGGTAGTTATTAGCATTTGTGATACCTTATTCTCATGACAGAACAGAAAGTGGCATAACATCAATCTTGTTTTGTTACAAAAAATAATAAAAAGGGGAATTGGTACAAGTACAGCTGTTTTCATTATAATCTCAAGAAAGTAATGTCAGAGTCCTCTTCAGAGGCTGTAATGAAAGGACCTTTGAAGAGCTGGGGTATTCTTCTGTTAGTCACAAAGGTACTGTACGCAGTAATTCCTTTTCTTAAGAAATGGCTGTTCTGTTAGACCAACAGGAACTGATCACGAGGGTCCCACTATTGCTGAGATGGGGTCATGTAGAGTGGAAATATGAGCTCCATAACCCTTGACCCCTTTCCCTCTTTATTTCGATTCCTTTAACAATGCATGGTTGGCAGACAAAAACAATGGAAAGTTCCAATCTCTTTTGTTTGGCTTGGGAAAAACTCAAGCCAGCTCAGTTTTGTTTTTACCTAAAAGTATGTCTGGGTTTCAATTAAAAGGAGCTACTTTAGGTTTGCTAGTCTGAGAAACCCTGAAAAAAGCCATTGTTGCCCATCCATGATCTAAGCAACAATGAGATACAGATTCTCACAGTGTGTCAAAGTAAAACTACATCTCAGTTCTAACTGCAGAGGCCAAGAAAGGATGGGGTGCTAGCAAGCTGCATTTTTGAACTACACACCCATTCATGTCTACTTATTAAATCATTATTTTTAAAACAGAACATAGTATTTTAGAAAGTCTATGTCAAGGAAATACTGGCAAAAGGAAGGACCACAAATAGTACAGTTGCAAGAACAGGTATAATTTGAGAGTTTAGCAGGTGAAGCCATCAACCAACTGTCCCTTACAGAAATGTCATCGGTTTAATTGCAGAGGGACTGAGAAGTCAAAAGCAGTTGATTCAGGACTCTTAGAAAAACAGACATTTGATTTATATCATAATCTAAGATTAATAACACCTATTTCTAATCTGCTAAAATTTTTATGAACAAATGCATTCTTTTACAAGTCTAGACTCATGAAGAGGTGGCTCTTTAACTTCATACTTTCTCTTGTTTTTATACAACAACTCAGTGTCTCCTTGATATCATACCTAGGTGCATGAAACAGTGATTTCTTTTACAAACACCTCCTCAGGGTCAACTGGTAAATTGATGCATCCTAACTCACTGCTAAAGAGCATTTGAAAGAACCTGGCATGATGAAGCAACGTTCAGCTGTAAGAAGTTTCCTGTGAAAATTTGTAGCAAACACACACATTGCAAATCACCTGCAGAGAACTGTATTAGCTGACACAAATGTGTCCAGCACAAATTTGTCCACACAGCGGGTAAGATGAAATAAAGGAAGAGCACAGTTGAAGTCCTTATCCTATTAAAACATCCATGATTTTTATAAAGTCAGCAGTTTATCTGTGCTCCATTTTGGAATTTACAGTTTACAGCTTTGGGTGAGTTCCCAGCTATGTGATCTATGAAAGTAGATCTCTTCCTGTCTCCCTGCCAGTGGAGGCACTGGGACGCTTTTTAAAATTTTCTTACAGGAGAGTTTGCTTTTGCTTTGTATCATTCTTCAACCCTAAAATTAAGAATAATTGCTTGATGAACTTGATGAACTTTTGCAGTTCAGAAGCAGTTCTTAAGATTAAGTTTGCAATATCATACTGTGTCCTCAGTTCCACTGATAGAAAAGAATTTATAAGATGCAGCTCTGAGGAAGAAGTCACTAAAAAATAAAGTTTCAGGGTGAATTACTCTATCCTCCCTTAGTACAGTTTTGTTATTGGAGTAACAAGTATTTAATTTAAATCCAATTACAGAGAAACGTTTACATTAGGGATTACTAAACTTGGGATTTCTATGAGTTGTTTCAGCTTAAAACTCAGCCTGGCAAGATAATAATATTATGGCTAGACTTAGTCCAGCTAAAAAGAGTTTCCTAGATTCCTTCTGAATAAGACAAAGCATATAACTTGTTGGCTATTGCCAACCACTTGACCAGGTGCAGGAAAGAAAGAAATGTTGTTTTTAAAAATAGAGCTAAATAAAAGAGGAGATCAAGTGGTCCACCTCCCACCTTGTCATTCCAGTGGTGCTGAAAGGAAAACACTTACTTTATCCACACAAAACTGAGGTACAGAAGATAAAGGTACCCAATTAGGGAATTTCTGCAGGCACACCCATGTTTCTTGTCCAGAAGAGTACCATCTAGGAAGTAAATTCCTATATAATGCACAATTCTAATATTATCAGATTGTTGAAATCCAGTAGTATGATCAAAGCCCACACATTATTCCCTTGTTGCTTGAAACAGAAGTAATCTATTTTTTCTTTCTTTTTTTTCTCTTTCTTTCACTATTTTTTTTTTAATTCAGAATTTAGGGAGGCTATGGACCAAATTTTTCTCCTAGATGTGTGCATGGCTTCCATTTTCTGAATTTTGTGAAATCTCTGGATAGGCCTCTGGTAGGCAAAATTTAGCCTGGTGCATGATACTGATTCATCCTGTATTACTCTAATGTTCAAAATCTGAAAGAATATTTGGATATAATACATAAAAGGAAAGACAATATCTGGAAAAGGATGAAGAACAATTATTCTCTGTTTCAAGGGTGAATTGCCTTAAGTGAGCAGAAATCAGTCACAGGAGGCTGCTTGCTTCACTTATTTTTCTAACTGCTCTAGGCAAATAAAGATTAAACCATCCTTTTATCAGGAAAGCCCTCTCCCCAGTATAAAGACATAATCAATCTAAATTGAAGGAAACTAAGAGATGCACAGAAGGTTTGTTGGACAACTTTAGGCCATATAAGGACAGAAAAGTGTAGGGTTAATTTTGATTTATATTTACTCCAATATATTCATCAGAAATTGAGGTCTAAGATAAATACCTGAAACATTTTGTGATAATTTACTGAATAGTTGATAAAGGAGAGTTTCATGTCATCTGAATAAATTTTCTATAGAGAGTCACTGTTTTAAAACATGGGTAGCTAAAGTACAAGCTCAGCTTAGTTCCTCATAGTCAAATCAGGATGAATAAAAATAATTTACCCTACATTGAACCACTGCTACTCTTAATCAAATTTAATCCTGTTTCCCTCTTTTGAAAATATCAACCAAGTTATGCTTCAGAGAGAAGGCAAACAGTTCCAGTACCCTGGGTTGTCAGGAAAGATTAAAAAGGCCAAATCTTATTTTTATACAAGTCTATACAAGTTCATGATTTCGATAATAAGCATGCATTATGCACAAAAATATCAGATTTTTTTCTGCAAAACCAAAACTTAACTTATACGCTATTTCCAAACCCAACTCAAAATCACATTCATCCCAGTTTTCTCATAATAGAAATGACAAAAATAAAACCTTTTTCTGAACTCAAGAAAAAGTGTGATTTTCCTCAACCTCTGATGATCAGAATAAAAGCGAACAAAGGCTCAAACTACCCATATTCTGAGTTTTAAAAAAGAAAATGTGGTTTTTCGGCCCCTCTCCTGGTCCTTTTTTGGTTAGAAAAGTTTTGTTGAATCCTAGTTTTGTGTATTTCTGAAACTGGGACATAGAACCAAGAATGTTCCTTGGTGAAAGATTTTTTTTCTGCTTCAAAAGTCCTATTAGTTCTGCCAGAACAGTTCATATTTACAGGAAGGAGAGATAGCAACAGGGATGGAGAACAGCACAAAACCACTGCAGTAGATAATTCATCAGTTAAGTATCAATAAATGTAAGTGCCCATGAATTTTACTTTTGTGTAAAGTTACACCTTCATTGTGTTATCTCTTCAATGATGTAGCTTTCAGTTTCCCAAAGGAAGGGATAGCATAGATTTTGTAGCATTGATTAACTTCTGAGGTGAATTGAGATTTTAATAACAGGTGAATAAAATAGAGGCACCAAGAAGCGCCAAAGAAGCACCAAGGAGCATTACTGAGTGCAAATTTTTCTGTTCTACTAACAAAAGGACAGCTTCCACCATAGCTTTTTCTTGGAGCCATGAAGAGCTCTTTGGAGCAGCAGTGCGCTTCCAGGAAAAAGACTGATAGGGCTGGAGAGCTTCCATGGGTGTTTCCCCAAATACCGAATGCACCTGGGATTAGAGCCACTCTTCCTGTCTCACTGCAGGGAAGATGGGGACGGAATTCAGGAGTTGTGTTGGCTGCAGAAGTTGCACTGATGGATTTACAGTTCCACCACAGCAGCTGCCTTGCCTGGAGGTGAGGCACACACCACAATTTCTCCTTCTATGTCTTGCCTTTGTAGTCCTAGATAAACTTTTTTTTTCATGAAAACATAACATTTTGCAACAGTCATTGAGCTCAATCCAAAAGATGTAGCCTTATAAAAACCACAGAATCTCAAACACTGACAAATTCACCACGTCACCAATTTTTAATTGGATTATTCCATTTTTTTGACTCTTCTCTGATGCTGAACTAAATATCCACAATAAATATTGAATTGTTCCAGTTGTTGGTATCAAAAATCCAGTTGTTGGTATCAAAAAATATTAAAATCATAACTGCATTTAATTATTCCTGCATGTACCTTTACTGTGTGCTGTAAGTTTACTTCTAATGTCAATCCAAGATGAAGTCAACTGATCCTGCATTTTTTGCAGTGATTAGAGATTTCAGTGCAGATTTTCTTTTGTGGAAAGTACTGTGAATTTAAGCATTCTATAACAAAATAATCAAACAAGAAGAAATCAGTGAACTGAAACCCTGCTAAGGGTAAGCTAATTTTTGAAAAAGACTTTTTCAAAAATTGAATGCCAATTCAGCAGCCCATATTCGTTAGCTGGTGCCTTTTGAAATCAGTTTTTGTATTTCATTCCCACAGCAAATGAAGACGGTAAATTAGTTCAATTGCAGATGAGAACTCAGAGCCCACAGGAAGCTGATTTGTTTGTCAGCATCCAGGAACTTACAGCATGAAGCACATCTCCCCCCACCAGCTTCTGTCATGGGGAAAGGAATACTGGGATGTGCGTGCCAGTTTGCTAGCCTGAAAAATGCCCTTCACTTCTGGGTGTCTCCCACTTTGCTTGTGTCAATTGTCTACAATTACTTCAAATTTCAATAATTTAAAGACAAATTGATGATATGCAAAACTGTGACATACCAAAGAGAGCTCATTCTTGCTCACTGAAGGTAGGAAATTCACTTCTCTTAGGTTTCAAAACGCAGAGAGAAAAGCTGCTTTGAAAAGAGGCTGTCACCCTAGGATGAAGGCATATGGCACATTTATTTTTTACCTGGTTGTCCACCTTATTGTCCCACAACTGTGGAAGAAGGGGAGCCCCTTTTCAAATCATGCTCTTAAGCCCAAAGTAAGCTCCCCCAACACTGTATAAGGAGTGCAGGAATGTGCTACTTACACTATCTTGGTGGATTTCAGGAAAAGATCTGTTGGGAGGGAAATGAAAAGATAGAGGGCATTTGGAAATGAGGGCACTTACATCTTCGTTTCACTTTTAATGGAAAGGTAATGGAAGGAACACCAAGTGCTAGTCATCTTTGACACCCTCATTATTAGGAGGTTTTTAAATTTTATTCTTGTGGCTCATATTCAACCTGACAAGTCATGTAGCGATTAAAAATTGGAATGCTGCAACAACAGTGTTAGAATTAGGATCAGTGACTGGTTTAACTCTCCCTGACAAGGAAAGCCTGGCAAATGACTCAGTTCCAGCCAGTAGGGAATCTTCAGCCTCACTGCGCACTACCAATGCATCCTGACATGTCTTGCCAAGACAGCCAACGTGGGCCAAGCAGATGCCCTCGGAAAGTTTTCTCTTCTTACCTTTCTTGCTCCTATGCTGTTCATCGTTGGACTCTGAACTAAATGTTAGGATGTGCTTAATGGGGGCTAGGTGCATTTTCTAGAACTTGAAAAAAGCCGGGAGGTAAGGAATTGGGCTTATGGAAGAGTTTTTTCTTCCTTAACCTTCTGGAAAAATAGAATTCTTGCAATGACTCAGCTACAAGTGTGCGAGGTTCAGAGCCCAGATTCAGATCCATTGAAGATTCTAGAAGGAATTACTGCGGAGCAATTGCATGATCACAGAGGACTGAAGCTTCCTGGGTTCTACAGCATTAGACAGCCTCAGTGATATATTCAGATAATGATTTTGGCTCCCCTGGTATCTCTCTCTCTCTTTCTCTCTAATAACGTTCTGCCCTTTCTGCTGTATGGTTGCAGGACAGACGTCTTTGACTGATGTGTTTAAGACATGGGTGGCTTAATAGCTGTGTTGTAATAATGACTGATTTTTGGTGTCCTGGGAGAACATCTCTCTTGGCACTTTGGATATAAAAAACAAGTGACATTTTGAAATAAACAAGGTCTACAGGTGGTAGAATTAGCACTCAATCTGTCATCCTGCATGCAAGGTAGAGCCACAGCCACCAGAGGATACAAAACAGAAAATATATTGAGGTAAGAGAATAAAATTAGGAGTTTATCATGAAGCAACTAAAATGCAAACCTTACTCTTCCTTTCTTCAAAGTTGTTGCAGTAACTGGACACATGCATTAAATGGTATTTCCTGGGCAGAAGGGCAAGGATGGGAACAGAGTTTGAGGAGCCACAGTGGAGATCTTGCATTCCCAGGCAAAATGAGGCTGGATTCCTTGGCAGTTCTCCTGGGGGCAGTTTGCAGCATCAGTTTTAGCAGGTGGGCAGTTTATTCACTTCCTTCATTTTCTTCACCTCGCACAAAGGCTGCAAGGGTTGGGTCTTGCCTTGAGGTTTGCATCCTTTCTGTGCCCCTTGGGAATGGATTTCTTTCCTTCCATGCCAGAAGCTGAGATTGGTGGTGAGATTTTAGCCAAATATAACACCAGAAATATCTATGGCTCTGCTGGTTAGAATATCTGAAAGCAAGTAAATAACCATGTTACTGAGGAAAAATACATGAGTGTTTTGAGAGTTATTTTATTCCATGTTCCTGGTTAGCAAAATTTATTTCTAGATGAGAAAATCCAAAATTTTAGTGAAGGACTTCAGTCCCTACTCAGACAAACTCATGAACCATTCCAGCGTAGACTTTATATATGCAATTGCAGATACAATCTGTCTCTGATAAAATGTTTTTGTATGATGGCAGAAGAGATACTAATCAGCTCTTGATTAATATTCATTGTATACATATATGTATTCAGGAAATTAAAAGGCATTTTCAGACAATAAGAGAGCATACAGCACAAAAGATATTCCCAAATAAATTGAAGCAAGCAGTGGTCAAGGCAATCTCTTGAATTCAGAGTTAGCAAAAGACCAGGCACTTCACTTTTTCATTTAGGCAAGAGGATTAAGAAAAACTGAGCTGATAGAATCTTGTGATCCCACCCACTTTGGGTGCATGTTTTCTAATTAATATGGAAATTTGATCAATTATCAAAATGCACTGGCTGATAGAGATGTGCCATTCATCTTCTTTTCAATCGCACATGTGCCTTGGAAGCAGGAGAAGTGTTTCCAGGTTCTGCACTAATTTTGACATTAAAATAATCATTAGTTTTTTAATTATTATTATTATTTTCACATTTAAGGCCATCATTATTAGTATTTTAAATGAGCCAGACCAAGCTTGGTTTCGACAGGACTCTCCTGTCCTCCACCAAGATCATGCAAAATAGCACACACATAAACATATGCACAGAATTACATATAGGGAGATAGAGATATATGACATCAACATAGTTATCTTTAAGTATCCTGGCATTTGCAAAGGCTAATCATTTCATAGACCTATTTGCAGAATCAGCTACTTCTCTGTGAAGTCGCAATAATCATTAAAGTAAATGAAGAAATTTCCACTTCTCTTTCAGCAGGGAACAGAAATGCAGTACTCAACCCCAGCTCCCATTGGACCCAGTGGGACTCTCAGGAGGAGCTGCCCACCCCCAGGAGGGTGCTGGGCACACCCTGCCCTGCTCCTGCCACACGTCCCACACATGGCAGGCCCTCATTAGGAACACAGCTGAAATTGGATTGCTGGGCAAGGAGCACAGGGCAAAGAAAACATTTTCACCTTGCATGTGTTTGTGGTAGTCTACTAGATCAAGGGTCATTTGTTGATGTGTATGTTTTTCTAATCCCTTTTTTCAAAGACCTTAAGAATTGGATGTGGAAAGACACAGGGGAGCACTGCAAGGATAACTGTAAGAGACAGAGACAAATTAGTGAGCCAAAGTCCAGAAAATGGGTGCTGCTGAGGCAAATTAAGAGGAAAAATGTCAAACCATAAAGATGTAAATGAATGCTGAATGTTTATAGGGACACTTTCGGCCAAAATTTTAAACAGTAACTAGGGAGACCATAACACCCACTGTCACACTAACATGAGAGAACTAGAGCACGTGAGATGGCTGGTTATGGTGTTCTGTTGTCCTAATCCCTCTCAGACTGGTTACAGACCCAGTTAAGAAAGTCTGAGCTCATACAAATCAACAGCTCAGATGGCAAAGGCCAGCCCTAATGCAGTAGGAAAGCAGACTGGGAAAAGCCACTGTTAATTTGCTGCCTTCAGTGACAGGAATCTGCTGGTTCCCACCAGCCAGGCCCCAGAAGCTCAGCCTGCTGAAAAAGTAGGTGAGCAAAACAGCCATCACATTGAAAACTGGGAGACACAGCCTGAAATGAAGCAGATGGATGCTCAGAAAGCTCCACACAGGCTGAATTCAAAATACAACAGCTATCTTCTTCCTGTCATGTCATGTATTGCTTGGGAATGCCCTTCAAGTGAAAATTTGATGAAAGAGAGAAACAATAGAAGGCTTGAATGAAAATTTCATCTTTTTTATTTATATTTACTTAATTAAAGACTGTAGCTAACAAAAAGTGCTGTTGCAAGAGATAGGTATGTGCAAAACCCCAACTCAAGACCTTAGTGGACAAATGGATCTGACAAAGGCAGCAGGATTCAGATTAACCAGGCTCAGAACAAAACTGAGGAATCTGCCTTGCTGGTTTGAAGTAAGAAGGCTTCAGTAAATGACATTTTTCCATATTAGCCAGAAACCTACTCACTTTGTGTTTCCATAGTCAACTTCCACTTAAAAAACTCTCTGAAAATCTTAAAAGTCTAGTCCTGGGGAAAGATCTCAAAGCTGCTAAAAGTGATGGTGCACCCTGGCAGGGTGCTAGGGAATTATTCTAGAGCTCAAATTATTCATGTGATTAATGAAGATGGTTCACATCCATACTGTTCAATATAGGTCCCTACCTAGGACCTTCCTGCTGCAGAGGGTCTTTTACAGCGTAAGGTGAAGAGCAACAAGTAAATGCCAGATTTCTTTTTTTTTTTTTTTGGTATCAAAGACCATGCTGGGATCATTACAATGCTGTTTTCCATTATCAGTGTACAGTTATTTGGGATTGTTTTTAGTGTTTGTCCCATCTCCATGGGTGAGCAAGAGCAAGCGTAATCTTGTGTGTTTGCAAAATACAGTGAGTTTATACTCAGCTGTTGCCAGAGTTTATTCTGTGTGGACAGAGTAGGAATGAGAGGAACAGAAGCCATCTCTTTCTGTCCTTTTAATTTAATTTCTTTTGTTAAGAAAATACTTTTGTCATCAATGAATTTCAGTAGGGATTTATCACCAAGCACAGTAGTTGAATTGTGGTGGGTGAAATTCTGACTGTCTTGATATCAAACAAGAATTACAAATAGCATGTAATAGTTTTATCTAAATTGGAAGAAAGGATTATAAAATTCCTTTAGCAATAACTAGGGGGCTTACGCTTTTTAAATTTCATATATCAGTTTGAATCTCCAGAATTAATGGGAGCATGTTGGAAAGAAACCTCAAATTAGATTACATTGTTTATTTTTGGATAACTCAAAGATTATTTTTCTATCTCACATTCACCAATGAAGAAAGAGTTAAATATAACTTTGGAAGGTATTTTAGTCATAACAGTAATCTCTTTATATATCAGTGGGTCAATAGTTCAGTAAAAAAAGGAACTATAACTTGAATAGACACTAATTAAAAGAATCAATTCTTATCCTACTACATATGTCCAGTCATATTAACACATTTCTAGATTTCTTACTCAGTGGACTAGTCAAGATTAAAGGATTTGCTAATATGGATGAACTGAGTATGCTTCCAAACTGACTGAGCAGATTTGTGAACAAATTAGTTCATTTAAAATTGACAGTGAAAGATTGATTTTGCACAGAATGAGTTACCTAAGGTATTCATCATTTCCTCTGCTTCCATGCACAAGACAGAGATCTGCTTCTTTTTCTTTCTGATTGTAATAGGACTGCTTACTGAGCACCTTTATTTTACAGCCATGATTGCAGCCTGTCATTCTTTTAATTTAGACATATTTTAGCCTCCACAGACCTTCAGAAATAACTTCCTTAAAAGCCTCAGTCTAATGACTCATTACATGAGTTGCTCAATTCATCCACAGTACTTTAAATTATAATGCAAGGGGAAAAATTGCTAATTACACAGAAAAAGATCCAATTACTCCTGAGACCATTTGATTCATTATTCAGATTGTTTTGGGGGTGGGGGCAGGAGGAAGGGTGTCTCTAAACATGGGGTTATGTATCAATGTATTGTGAATGGCTCTTAGATGTCAGATTTACCATCAGTTATCATCATTCAGAGGTATCCAACATCTCTGTATTTTCCTCTACCAATCAAAATAGACTTTCCAGACAGTGATTCATGCATATGTGCCAGTATGCAGTTCTTAATATTTAGCCATTAAATGCCATTAGAAGAAAGCTATAACCAATCGTTTCTTAATACTGCTACATGCTATGTCACTCACAGAGCTGCCAGGAGGACATCTGTGACCACAAATGCCACAGGACATGACCCACAACTCACAAATCTCTGGAGAGAAGAGTTCCTCCACTGATGAAATGTTGGTGCTTGATTTTCTGCCAGTCGAGACAGTCTGTTTGTGATTTGCTCATGACCAGGTCCCCCCCATGGTTCAGTGTGATGTTTACTGCTGTATAGGAGATGAAATCAAAGGGAATGGCAAAGTTATCAATGTCATCCTCTTCAGAGCCAAAATTACTGAGACTTAACTTGTTTCAGCTACCACCATAAACCCCTTTGGACTCTACAGAGGTAGATCACATTCAGTCCAAACTTGTATTTTGCTTATGGGACATTCAGGGCTCCCTTACCAGGACTGTAATCTCCTCAAATCTGGCTCATGTTTAAAGCAGAAGAGAATTGAAATCAGCTAACTACATTCTGCTCCCTGTCTAACAGTCCTAGTTACTATATAATAAAATATTTTATATGTATGTGTGTTTTTAGTTTAGTTTGCCCAGATGTGAAATGAGATCAAATTTTGATCCGAAGAAGAACATTTGAATGTCATTGTCTGGGTGTTTTCATACCAAAATTAACAATACAAATGAAAGTGATTGTAATGTAGAAAATTTGATAAAATCCTACTCTTTTATCCTACTGCAGACTATTGTTTGCAGCTATACTAATGTGAGATGGAACAATTTTAGAGCTCTCAAAAATAACCATTTTTTTTCAAAAACTTACAGTCTGCTCAGTCATAGCTCCAGTTTTCTATAGACTTTACTAACTGATTGAGCACTGCTATTGTTCCCTGAAACATGTGTTCTTCCATAACAATTACTGTTTTGCAGTGTATCCATTTTAGTCATCATTAAACTCATCTTGCCTACAATGAGCCAAGCATTCCCATTTTTTGCAAGGTGTCACTTTCTAGTCCGCACTTTCATTTTGTGTCTAACTGTAATCAGCTCATTTTTTTCTCTTCCATTCATGCTTCTTACTTACTTAATTTCCTTTTATTTTACCTAAACACTTCAATACTAATTGCTATTTCTGATTGCAATACAGCTCTCCTTCCATTTTCTAAAATTTTGCAGAACTTCTCCTGACAAGAATGTTATGTTACTTATGATGAATTATGCAAGAGCAATAAAATGCAAAATATGTAAATGGCACACGATTGTTATCTCGCTATTAGAGTGAGACAGTAACAGAATTTGTAATGTCTATTAACAGGTTGTTCACATTTTTAATGCAGCAGAGAATGAGAGAAAAAAAATTCTCTGGACTTTGTTCTGCAGTTGCTGGTGAGAGCAAGACATAATGAAGACACTCTCTCCACCTTCAGTGATTTGTCTTTCACAGTTCAATTCTGCCATTTCACAAGCTTGCTGGCTCCAGGGTTATGTGTCCTGGCAAATTGTTGTCTGTCACTTGTTAATGTATTTCCTCACTTACCTGATTGACAAATTCCCTGCCTTGGCCATTGATTTGTGCAGATACACATGAATGTCTGATGAATTCAATCAAAGACCTCAACACTTTGGGGTAGTTTATCCTGTAGAGGTTTATCTTTAGTGCATTTTGAGAAGTAATCCATAGCTGTTGCCAAATATTTGTATGTGTCAGGGTCAGCAGTGAGAAAACAACTATCACCATTAATTTGTGCTACCTGTACAGTCCCTGTCCTGATGACCCTGACATGGTGCTCCACTGGATCTCATTGTCTACCTGCAGCCAAATCTGACAGCTAACAAGCAAGTTTTGCAGGAGAGTCTCCTGTTTGCTGAATTTAGCAGGACCAGAGACAGTCTCCCCAGGCTCCACAGTAACCCACAGACATAAGAACTGAAGCAGATGCTGAGCAGAGGGAGCCCATCCTTGTGTCCACCCCAGCAAGGGAAGGCTGTGGGTTTTGACCAGCCAGGGGTTTGTAGAAGCCCCTCAGTGGAGAAGGGCAGCAGTGGTGATGGGCACAAGTATTTCTGTGCCAGTCTGACACAGAGGCAGGTCCCCCTCATCTTGCCTGACAGATTGCTCAGCCAGACTGAACAGAGCTTAGTATGGGTTTCAGCTCTAAGATGAAAGTCAGTGCTCAGGGGCTGAGTCACAGGACGGGAGAGGATGGGAGAAACAGGAGAATAATTTAGCAATCCTGAGTCTCTCATGTGCTACACTTGTTTCCAAATTGCATCCAGTTTCTGTGTTAAGAAAGGGATCTCGATTCAAAAGCCAAATATTTCTGCATCTGCATGAGACTGAATTTTTATATCATCTTTCATTCAGGTCATGGGGAATATCAGTATGAGAATGTCAATGTATGAGAATCTGTGGGACTAGCACCAATTCAAACCAACTTAAATACTAGTCAATGCTGTTCCTGAACTATCAAATATGAATAAATATAAATAAGCCCTTCTAGCTCATTTTATTGCTAGGGAAGCCTCACTTCACAGACAGCAATGGTGATTTCTGCTAAAATAGCATTCCTTTTGGCATGCTATTTACTTTGAATCATTCTGCCTAGACAGTGACTCCCGGACTCCTTTGGAACCCTCAAAGTCATCACTTTTTTGGGTGAGTTCAGTCAAGCATTGCTGTAGTCTGGGTCAGCTCTGCCTCTGCACTGAAACAGCAGCTTTAGCAGGCCTTGAGCTCAGAACTGGGCAGATTTTATCCAGTCATAGCAAAGTCATATGGTGAGAAGCTTGAGTAATAAAGTTATCGCAGTAACACAGCACTGGCATTAGCCAGGATTTGCCTTTCTGCAACTATATCAAGCTCAAAATTAAAAACAATGTCACCTCAAAAGAGTCACCATTTTCCTGTTCTTCAGCCTGATTACTTTCCTTTCCCTTTTTTGCAGGTCAGCATCATGAAGAATTTCTGCTCTCTTCAGGAGGAGAGCCTGCAGCTTTCACATTTAAAAAGCTTCTCACTTCCATCGAAGAGATGGAGCAGGTTCTTACCTAAGCCTACTGCTGACAGATTTACTAGGTCTGAGGGAACAGAACAGGCTGTTAGAATAAAAAAATCAAGCCAGATTTTCTGATCTGATTAGACAGGAGGAAGAAACCCAGAAGCCTTAGCTTATTTGTTTGTTTTCTATTTAGAGTGATATTTATTTTTTATTCTCATAAAGCTAAAGGATTAATAGTGGGAATATTAACTGAAGCCAAGCATAGTGAGAGAGCAGATGCTTTGCAAGCCTCTCCATACAGCCTTGCCAATCCTTCACAGAGCAGCTCTGGGTTACCACACTTTTCTCCATTTTTGTGCCTCTTTTCAGCAACCAATGCTAGCCAGAAGGAAATGAATGATGGCTTTGTGATTTAAGGGAGTAATCAGAAATACTAAAACAAAGATTATTTGGCTTTTTTTTTTCATCAACACAGGCAAGAATAAAAATTGTTTATTATGTGCGTGTGACTAGGCTGTAAAATGCACGCAATAAGAATATGAATAAGGATAATTTCAGGTTTTGATGATTTTTCAGAACTTCAGAATTCTCTCAGGCCTAGAGTGGGAGAAATTTTAAGGAGCAAGGATTTCAGAAGAGTTTATAAGCCAAAGTATGTTTTGAGTTATGCTTACAAACAAAGTGGTAGTTTGTACAAATAGTGTATTTTAAGGCCATTTTTCCTCTTTGCAAAGGACTCCAGAAGACAAATGCATGCAGATTAGCACACCCTGAAATAATATGCTGTAGCTGTAATAATTGCTACTAATTCCCATACTGGAAAGGAACAGAGTACAGGAACACAATCCTGTAAATTGGGTCCCACAATATCCGGAGGAGATCAAGGCCTAGAAAAAGGCACCAAAACTGGTGAAGGGGCTTGAAGGCAGGTCCTGTAGGGGGCTGCTGAGTCCACAGAGTTGGTCTAGTTTGGGGGAGGCTGAGAGGTGACCTCATGGCTCTCTACAGCTTCCTGAGCAGGGGAAGTCAAAACAGTGGTCCTTCCTGTGCCCACTGGACACCAGTGGGTGTTCAAAAACTCTGGAACCCCTGGCACCATCTGCAAGTCCTGTTTCTTATGGCTGATTCTCCTGACTCCAAGTGTTATGGACAGGGCAAGCTCTGCAGTGACCCTCACCTTCCCTTGGCCTTGCCCTGCCATCCAGGTGAAAATGCCTCACAGCCTCAGGCACCTCCCAGTGTTGGTGATTCTCCTCATTTCCCAGAGCCTCCTGCCCCTCTGGCCTTGTGGTCCTTCATGGCCAGGCAGTGACGCAGCTGCTGGGCACCCCTGTAAATTCATTCCTATGCTCAGGCTGGGCATTTAAGGTCATTTATACTCCAGATATTCATAAGATTGTGAGGATGCCAAAAGTGCAAGAAATTATTTGCTTCTCTTTATGCAAACTTTGAAGAGATGTAGAGAGCAGACAAGATTTCCTCACCATTTCTTGCAGTCACAACCAGAAGATCTAGCACTTAAGTCTTGTGTTGTCCCACGGATTTCATGTCCGTCATGGAAGAGTGAGGCATTAGAGGTATGATCTGGAGAGTGCCAGAAGGGGGAAGTGGCTATACAGATATTTCTGCAGACAATTTTTGCATAGTCTTCTTTTGTGCTACCCAGAAATTATTATTCAGTTGATACTTTTCATTTAATTTTAAGAAAAACATTGTCCCTCTTAAAAATAAAAATATAGTGTACTATTTTCTTAATACATTGCACTTGACTGACGAAGCACAGGTTTTTCCAGCTGAAGTTTCTGCTTTCAGTTTTAAATTTAAGTTACATTAAAGTTAAAAAAAAAACCTGTACAATATAAATCTGCTTGATATTGTTGCTCATAAGTAGCAAATGATGCCAAAACCATGTGAGCTGTACAACAGGAATAAAACCTCTGAAATGGATTTACGTAAATCTTAGAGTCAAATTATTGCACTATAAATATGCAATGCACATATTGTTGTGTTCATTTTTTTTTCAGTGAGGTTTTTCCATGTCAAGAAATCTCATCTAAAAATTTGGCTCAGTCCTGATCCTTTAAAATTCCACTAGCTCTTATAAATTAGCATTTTCATACTTCCTATTTATCACTATGCTTAGAATTGTTGCAGCATGATAGAAAGAATTATTTTTTGAAGACATAAGTAAGCCTGTTATCCACATGAATAAGGAAGATAATACGGTGAATCTCTCTGAAATGCACAGCCTTAGTGTACAATCAGTG